GCCCTGGCTCCCGTGTTCCCCATTGCCCAGGAGTGCCTCCTGCTGCGCTCTGCCCGATCCGGACCCTCTGCTCAGCTTCCACGGCACCTCCGCGGAGCGGCCGAGATGGGAGCGCTGCTTCCCAGCCAACCCCCTGTGCTCCTCTCTTCCAGGCGGTGGCCAGGTGGAGGTGAAATCCGAGAAACTGGACTTCAAAGATAAGGTGCAATCAAAAATTGGGTCATTAGATAACATCAGCCACGTCCCCGGAGGAGGAAATAAAAAGGTAATGGGGTGCTGGGGCTGGTGCAGACCTGCTGGTCCTGGCGAGGGCCACCCGCTCCACGAGCGCGCGGGCAGCGCCGGGCGCAGGGGAAGCCCAGATCAGCTCTAGCTCCGTCCCCTCCTCTCCTCTGGCAGCTTTTCCTCCCAGGCCTTGGAACAATTTGCTGCTGAGGGGCAGCCCGTGCGCACGTGTCCTGAGGACAGGACGTGCCCTGGCCTGGGCACCTGGTGCTCCCTGAGCACCCAGCTGGTCCTGAAGGGCTGCGCAGCTGGCGAGGGCACCCGCGCTGCACGGCCAACCAAGGGGACCTCGGTGCAGCTAACGTGGCCGAGCTGCAGGGCTTGCAGGCCGCGGCCTCAGCAGTTTCCTGCTGCTCTGAATTTGGTGCAGAAACAGGGCTGTGTCCCCCAACCTCCCGCTGCAAGGGACGCTGCTCTCTGCATCTCTTTTGCATTGGCCGTGGCCAGTTACCCCCAGCTGTGGGCACGAACCTGGCAGCTCAGGGCACCGTGTTGGCACTGTCTGCCCGGGAAAGCGGGGCATTAAAGGCATCGCTTTGTTTAGAGAAGGGGTCGCAGGAGAAGGGTGAGCTCTTCTTTCTGCCAGTCTCAGTTTCCCAGCTGACACTGACTGGGGCTCGGTGCATTTTGGGGGCATTGAAATCAAAAGCAAGAGGCGGGTGGGTAGAGTGAAATCCTGAACGCGGGAGGGCTGTTCCTGCGGGGGCTTCGCTGCTGCCTTCACAGTAAGTCTCAGTCAAGGAAAACCCATCTACAGCCTCGATTAGGGACAGCACCTCAGTGCACCTTAGAGGCAGGAGCAATCTGGGAAGCGAAGCACTGAGCCTGCAGTCTGGTATTGATTCCGCCAGGGAAAGGGGTTTTTTAATCTCCCTGGTTTTGCAAACACCCTTTCTGTGCACGGGAGGGACCGCTCTGTCCGGGCTCCTGTGTCTGAGCGCTCTGTTCTTGGCTCCGTTCTCGCCTTGCGCCTCCCTCTGCCTCCCGGGGCTGGCTCTGCTCAGGGCCTCCTTGGCCTCCTTGCCCTTCTCTCGCTGCTGCTCCGCATCAGCCCACGCTGCGCTTCCGCCGAGCCCGGGGCGGCGTTCCCGTGACGGGCACTTCACATCCTGGCCGTTCACTGGGCCGTAGCCTGAGGCACCCGCCCTGCACAGGAGGGGATGGTTGCAGGGCTGGGAGCTGCAGCAGCATCGGCTGCCCCCGGCCCCCCCCTCCGCCCGCGC